ATGTTTGGTGGGATGCGGATTCGAACCCCACGACCCCTCAGATTGTGAGTCGAGCGCCTTATCCACCTGGCCATGTCGGGCTTCATATTGTAGCAACATAACAATGGTAGACTGATTGCTTTCACCAGACATGCTCATGTTTGGGTAGGAACAACACTCCCTGTATATATGATGTTCAGGTAAGTGTATTCCTATTGCCACAATGTCCATAAGTCTATTTGGAGTGGCTAAGAATAACACTAGCATGTCACTGTATGTGCATATTAGTGTGAGCACCAATATCTAAGAAAGACTGCTGTGCAAAGAAGCGACGCTACAACAAAACAGTTGTTACACCTCCAGTCGTTAATTGATTTTCCGTAACTTCGTTCCGACGAAACTTTAGCGACACAAGTCCTTACTTAATAAAACTGGTTTATTCTTTCTGAATATAACTTTACCGATACACTTATTTTCAACAGTCGCTCTATAACAAACGTTTTAACAACGAACGTTAACTTCAACAATACTTTCTGACTGCAGTTCAATTACTCACTACCTACACACATTGTCACGTCACGCCGTGACCAGCTTATATATACCAGACCACCCCCAATCTAGCAAATGCTAGAGCACTCCCGAAGGAGCAGGATAGTTCTAGAAAACGGGTGGCATGATACTAGTCACGTGATCTCGCTGACGCAAAATAGTCAACGAAAGGACTTTCCAGTGTGGAGACTAGATCTGGTAGAGGCACATACCTGCAGCAAAGAAGTTATTTGGCTCCAGTTGGTTTGTTCCAAACCAAGTAATCATATAATTTGGTCCATTGACAAGGCCAGATGAGGAAACATCTGAAGAGGGGCTAGAAAACTTCACTTGTTGGCTTGATTCCGATGATGACTTCCTGATCATTATAGCTGGGATTAACTACCAGACCATTGGATGCATGGAAGGGACAATCATTAATTTCCAAGTTATCAAATGATGTTCACTTGCAATGTAAATACTGTATTGCATAATACATACTTGATTACCACAATTAGTTGTTTGGTTGAAAAACCAATGGCTGAAAGGGCCTTGCAACCATTATCAGGTATTGTTGTATAAACTACATTTTTGCGACTACCATTCGATTATCACTGCTAGAATGATCATCTGGTTGAAAGATCAATGATTGTAAACAGATAGTATTCTTTGATTTCTGAGCTACTGGGCGGCATTTCGCAGTGTAACGTATGCCTTGTAATAACAACTGACAATACACAATTGACTTTAGGTATTCCCATAGCCTAAAATCAACTAGACTATACACGATGAATAGTATTCACTTGATTGATTTTCGAACAAGAAAATAAACTTCCTAATAACCCTGTACATACACAGTTAAAAAAATTAAGGTATAATCAGCGTGTTATATATTATAAGTATGACAAGGCACAACTACAGTTATTTAATAATGTAAATTTCCTAAGTTCGTTTTTTTGTATCCAAAACAATTATCAAGAGGCATGCCGCGTGATCTAGCATACAAAATCCAATTGTATATAACACTGAAGGAAACACAACGTCTTCTCAGTTGGTAGTTTGAAAAAAAAAGCAGATAATGTTTGTGATATTTTGAGATGCACTGATTTTCCTGAAAAGTAATCAAGCGGGTTATTCAGAATAGGTCCGGCATGGCCAGGTAGTTAGGGAGCTCGACTCGCAGTCTGCGGGTTCGAATCCCCGTCACACCAAACATGCTCGCCCTTTCAGCCATGAGGGCGTTATAATATGACGGTCAATCCCACTATTCGTTGGTAGAAGAGTAGCCCAAGAGTTGGCGGTGGGTGGTGATGACTAGCTGCCTTCCCTCTGGTCTTCCACTGCTAAATTAGGGACGGCTAGCGCAGATAGCCCACGTGTAGCTTTGCGCGAATTTCAAAAACTAAAAAAAACTCTTCAGAATAACAGGTGGTTGGACAAACAATGTTATGAAGAGTTTTAACTGTATTCCTCGGCTTCGACTGATTTATTAAGAGTAAATGATACTGGACATGGTGTATAACAATGTGAAACAATAGTTATTTATTCACCAAAGCAATCAAGGACAACAAATGTGATGAAGGCCCCTTTACTTGATGTTTGAGGGCTCTAAATATAAGAGTAAATCTTTCTAAGTCTTCCTGAAGAGCTGCAGACTCTTTAAGAAGAATCTTTTACAGTCTGTGAAAACATGCCGTTATATACATAGGACAAAATGTTGTTCTTTCTTAGGCTTCATGGGATAACCATGTCATTGTTAATTATTCACATTGAAAAAGTAATGGAGGTAGTATCCTCAAGGTATCACCTGAACTGTCAGTGATGAAAAGATTACTGTCTACTTTCACATAGTATATTCAACTTTACAGATTTTTTCCAGGAGAAGGCACACGTGATACCTTGGCAAATGACCCAGACCACTAGATAACTAGAGCAAAAAAAACTCTGTGACTTTCTTGACTGATGTTTTATGTTCAAATTACAAACACTTAGTATGTCTGCATACTAATATGTGCGGTGGTCCAAAGTGAAAGTAAAACATGTCAGGACTTCAACAAAGACATTTAGAGGTTTCCATAATGTTGAGGGCAATAAATTGGCTAACAGCTGGTCAAATGCAACAAGTCCTTCCAATTTGGCTAAAAGTTTATTTCAGACCATCAATAGAGTTGGTTGGAGACAATGTCTGAACTATAAATACTTAAAGAGGTAATGAGGGAAGCTCTATAAAAAATAATGAAAGAAATGTATACTATACTACTCATATATATATATATATATATATGCATACACACATAAATATACTATTACCCCATTGATCAATCACTAGTTAGATCAAAATTAGTATTTAATAATAACTTCGTTCAAAACAAACTTTAGGAGGAAACTAGATACCAATTTTACCAACAGTTGATGGGGAGAATATTTGACAAAGGGAAAATACGTATAACAAACATACTCCCGTTGAGGCTAGATCAGTCAGTGAAATTTCACTAACAATATTTTCTCCCACGTGAATGATGTTTGTACTATGGGAGAATAAATTGATACTTATATTAACAATGGGCATTACATTCACATCCTTTCCCATCTCAGTTCGAGAACCAGCTAGAGATCTGGACAGAGACACCCATTGCTGAAAACTCTCAAAAGATTACTATTTGATATAAAAGGCTCGAAACAATTAGTGAGTCTCAGCATATACACCATACTTAACTGGTTAGCAACTTTCTGGCAGAAAAGGGTATTGATCAAATGGACTTGCCTTCTTGGTAACTAAACAAAGGTCCGATTTAACATGTGTTAGATGCTTCAGGAATATATGTGGAAGCATCTGATTCACCTCCAAAAAGTGTTCATGAACAGGAAGCAACTTTGAATAAGTGAATCATAATAACCCCTCAGCAACTCAATGATCCACTTTTATTAAGCTTGCCAGGTCTATGTAAGACTTGTATTAGTGTCAAAAGTGGTCATAAACCTTATTAACAATGTTTTTTTTTATCAATAATTTACTGAGTTGCAAAATATATAGT